TAAATAATTAATTAACAAACCAGTAAATGGGCTTCAAGTAATCAAAGAGCTTTTTTATGAATTCAGTAACTCATTTATTCAACAAGAATTTATGAATCACATGCTGTGTTCTTTACTCTGCAAAGAGAAAGACAAATGACAAAGGAGGGCAGCACAGTGGTGCATCTGGCCACAATGCCAGCATCCCATTTGGACCAGTCATATCTATGTTGCTCCACTACTGGTCCAACAGCCTGTTAGTGGCCTGGAATGGCAGCAGAGGTTGGCCTAACTGCTTGGAACCCTCACCCACCTGGGAGACCTGGAGGAAACCCCTGGCTGACATTGTTTCAGACTGACATTGTTCTGGCCATTATGGCCATTTGGGTGATGAACCACCAGATACAGGATCTCTCTGTGTGTCTCCTTTTCCCTCCTTAACTCTTACTTTCTAGTAAAAATACATAAATATTTTAAAATAGGTTGGTTTGGGTTTTGCTTTATTTTGATGGTTGCTTATTGATTCCAATTTAAATTCTAGCTTCTTGCTAACATACACCTTGATGGTTCAAGTACTTGTGTTTCCTGTCATCCTCATAGAAGAGTTGGATGGAGTGCCAGGGTCCAGACTTTGGCTTTGCCCAGACCCACTGCTATGGGCAGTCGGAGAGTGAACCATCAGATAAATAATTTCAGCCTGTGTCTTTCTCTCTGTCTCTCTACGTTTCCAATAGAAAAAAAAAATGTATGACAGTAATACCGATGAAGGAAAATACCTGGGTTTTGGTGTCCAGAATTTTCACTGGTTTTTGGCAATGCACACAACTGGCCACCTGCATGGTTAATCATTTCTAGTCCCTACTATGGTTAATCTGATACCTAATGGCCTAAATCCCATGAAATAAATCACACCATCAACATCCAACCCCAGTATTATCCAAGGGCTCAGGGTAAAAAAAAATACCCTCTTATCAGACAGGATATCTCAGAAGTTTTTTTAAAGATTATCTCCCAGAAACTGAAAGGGCAAACTTCAAACAAATTATATGATATCAGGTCACTTAATACTTGTGTGAGTGGTGTAATTTAAGCTATTTTTGTTTCTAGAAACTTTCTAAACATCCAACTCAAAATTCACTTAAGTTTTTAAGTATAATTTTTGATGGTGGTAATTTTGTGTGTTAAGTAAATTAGAAAGACTCTAAGGAAAGCTGTTCCAAAAACAATAAAATAAGAAAAATGGCAAATAAATGAATTGCTTTTGCATTAGGTATAAGGTCACACTGAAGACTAGATGGTAAACACTAAATCCAGGAAAAAACTTCATTCAGATTGTTGTGTGGTTTTTTTTTAATTATCATTTTTATTATTGCCCATGATTCCTGTAGTTACAGGGGATACTCTCCTTTCCCTTCTTTTTTGCTCCCCTTTTTCCCCTCCCACCATCTTCTCCCATATTATCATAGTAGTACAGTCCTTTAGTAGCAGTTACAAGTTTAACACTGTGTTATTTAAGTGTATCACAACATTGTAGGTATTGACAGGGAGAAAACCTAATATCATGTTGCCAAGGTATATTTAACTATTTCATGGGAGTCCCTCTTTTATTCAGGGGTAGAGGTATCTATGGCAACAAATTACTAACCAAAAAAAATCTTTTAATGTGGTGTGGGTGCCTGACAGACGTTCCCGAGAGGCGTGAAGCAGAGGACTCTCCGTGTATATGCAAGGATGTACATCATAGGCTTGGAGTCCTGCAAAGATCTGACACCAGAGTCTGATATATTGTTGTCCCTTGGAATGTTGCCTAATTCTTTTCTTCCTACAGGAGAGCTGCTTATCTACCCTGTGCTTGGAACTGTTGTGAGCTGTTAACGTGAAAACTCAGCTAATCTGTCCTCTGTGCACCTGCTTTCCCACCATTTACACTATGTTCTTGTAAAATCATAAAAACCTTTCACTTCCTTTATTTCGGCACATCATCCTGCAGATTGATGGCCACCCTGCTACAATAATAAAAATTCAGTTCTGCACGACTTCTCACGTTCCCTGTTAACTCATCTCTGACATGTATGGTTTTTAAAGAATCTGAAAATCGCCAAAGAATTGTTTAAGCAAGGTATTCCAAGAGGAACATCCTTTGTCTTATAACAAAGAGTTGATGCATCCTGTGATCTTTATTCTTTGGTTCTTTTTCACCATTTTTAAACAAAATTTTTCAGTTGATATACCAAATCTTACATAGTAGAGACTTGACAATATTTACTTTTGCTTAAACCTTGTCCGTTGGAAAATAGTGAATGTTAATAAGAGATCCTTGGCACATTTTGGGTCTGCAAAAATAACATACGGACAGGAAAGGAAAAAAAAAAAAGCCCTTCCACCACATATGACTTAGATAAGACTCACAGATGGTCTCCTTAATGAGATCATGTACATAGTCCATATTCCCATTCTTTATTCATAAATAATTAACGAAATGTGGATTAACCTAGCTGGATACTCTTGTGTTCTTTCTTCCACATGGCTGAACTTTGATCAACTCTCAGTCTGAGTTATGATTCAACCCTTTCTTGAGAACTCACTGGCTCCATGATAACATAGCTACTTCCCAAGCATGCTGCCTCCTCATGTTGCTCTCTCGGTAGCCTAGTTTGCTCTTCTCTGTATGTTTAAGATCCTTACAAATCTGTGGCCATTCTCCTGTTTTCAATAGTCCCTCCTCCCCCTGTTGATTTAATGTCATTCCTTCTTTTGCAATAATTTTTTGAAATCCAAGACTCCCCATGTTAAGCCAACTTCATTTTTATTTGACAGCTTCTATTGCATGTGGAAACAGTAGGGATATGGATTACATTTATATAAACAAAATTGGATTGAAATTCACCCCAGGGGAGATCATTGTAAGAAAAATAACATAACATTCACAGATAAAAGCAGCAGGCTGGGACTCACACTCGTTTGTTTTAGAGTTTCTGAGAAGAGTTTAGGCTGGAAAAAAATCTACGTATTGTGCATATATTTTCTAAAATATTCAAGGAAAATGGAATTAGAGGATGCATTTTTTGAAAGATAATTGAAGGTCTTGTATAGTTTTTGTGTATTGTTAGATTTCACAAACTTTTTTGAAGCCTGTGTATGTATGTGAATATCCAAAAGCTCAAAAACAGCATATATATTGTACAACAATTCAAGGATCTCAAAGTTTTATTTTTCATTTCTTTTGTCTCTTTTCATTTATTCATTTGTACTACCAAGGTATTCCTTTCCCCTGTACTTTTTTAAATTCAGTTATTTCCCAGGTATCAACAAAGTGCAGCCCACGGCCCATCCCATCACGCTCCCCTGCCTCTCCCTCCACCCTCCTGCTGACAATCACACGCATTCCTAACTCATCCTTCCCTTACCCTGAAGCCTCAGATTTGAGTAAGCCATAAAGCTTTATTATAAGACATTGACAGAATGCTTTTTTGATGTTTGTATTTTATCTAATTCAAAAATCATTAAAAATCAGCACATAATATTATATAGACTGACAGGAATGAAGGAAAAAAAGAGAGGGAAGGAATACCATATTCTTATTTTTTTTCTTATTAATTTGAAAAGCAGAATTACAGAGAAAGAGAGAAGGTGAGAGAGCAAGAAAGCTTGTCCCTCCACTGGTTCATTCCTCAATGGCTGCAACAACACAGGATGGGAGCAGGACAAAAACAGGAACCAGAAGGTTCTTCTGGGTTTCACCACATGGGTGCAGGTGTCCAAACACTTGGGCATCTTGCAATGCTTTCCCAAACACATGACTATGGAGTGGACTAGAAAGTGGCACAGTAAGTACTTGGACAAGTGTCTACTTGGTTACCGTCATTGTAGGCAACAGATTCACATGCTGTCCCACAAAACCAGGCTCCATCTTTATATTTTTAAAGTTGTGTGTACATTGAATCTGTTAAAAATGTTTTTTTTAAATAATAATAATTTGAGACCCAGTGTGGTAGCCTAGTGGCTAAAGTGTATGGGTGTTGGTTTGTATAACCCAGCTGCTCCACTTCCTTTCCAGTTCCAGCTTCATGGCATTCATTTCATCTTTAAGTAATAATCACTCAGGTCTAATACTTGCACATGTGGGAAAATACATACTCTTTCATCAAAAACCAGTACTCTTCTCCAACTCACTGCATCACCTCCATACACAAACAGGTTAATTCAATGAATGACAACATAGAGTCGAGCTATTTCCCAAGCAGGTAGGGAAAGGAAGCAAAGAAAGGCAGAAAATGGGTAATAGAGAAAAAGAAGTTTTCTCTTAGAGGAAAAAATACAGAAATAAACAGAAAAAAAAAAAAAAGCTTGTCAGTAAACAAAAGAAAATAAGGAATACCAGGAACTGGATTCTAATACATAACTAGGGTTATATACCTCTTCCTACTTTATTGATCACAATATTTCAACCATTTATAGCTCATTGTGGTTGAAGTTTAAACTGAAGAGTCTGAAACTCAATTAAGTTGACTGATTTTTTTTTTTTTTTTATGTAAGCTAGGATCTAGGCTCTGCACTCATCAGGTTTGAGACGTGTTCCTCACCTTACTCGGAGACTGCCTCGATAGGGTTGAAGAGTAGAACACACCATTGTGTAAGAAACTACAAGTTCCTCCTATGATTCTGTTACTTAACCAACCATCCCCAGATCACAGCGCACCCTGCACACATTACAATTCTTTGTATTATGAAAGTGTAGATTTCATATGAAGGATCCAGTATGTTGTATTATTTTTCTGAAATCCTAAGATTAATCCTTGTTTTACATCAGAAAAGAGCAATCCTATCAGCCTTTAGCAGATAGAACAGATTAAACCAAGAAGAGAGAAAAAGAAAAGGAGCTCAAAAATGGCAAGCATGCAGTGTCGGCTTCATTTCTTTTCATTACAAAAGAGGTGAGACTCTAGAGTAGATCAAGCATTGCCAGCAACATCTTCATCTCCTTGAATTGCATTGGGAGCTGCTTGTTTTGGCTGTTTATAATCACAAATATTTCTATTTTAGTAACTACTTCAACTTAAAGACAATGAATGGGCTTGATTCTTCTATCGTCCTTCCAATTATGGGTTTAATTCTTATTTTGATTTTAAACATTAAAATCTTCATGGTAAAAGCTTCGAAGCTAAGATCACCCCCAGGTCCCAGACCTTTGCCAGTTATTGGAAACCTGCATCTACTCAATCTGAAGAGGCCCCATCAAACCATGCTGGAGGTAAGAAGTAATCATCTGATACGTATCTGTAATTTCGTAGGAAATTGCTGCTCAGAAATTCATTAACATAAATGTATTAGCAACTGAATCATAAGTATAACAAGGTAACCAAATAGTAACCAAAATCGTTAGTTTCCTCAAACTGAATATACAGTTGATTTTAAATTTTCGTATAAATAGAATTCTAGTTTTAAAGTGATATTTTATCCTGAAATTTTTGCAGCCTATAATCTTTATCTTCAATATTTTAGTCCACAAGTTTTTTTCTACTATGAAGAAACTGACTTGGGTTAATAGTTGTGTCGTGCAGAGTTTAAGTTAACATCTAAAAACGCTATAGGAAAAACACAGTCCAGAGGATGGCTGCCAAAACAGAGTCTAAACTTGAATCTGGTCCCCCATTGATTTTCTATGTAAAGTTTGCCTCTTTCTTTCTTCATGTCTTGATTGAATAGACTGGACTAAGCATTGGTCTAAATCTGTTCACAAAAAAAAAAAAAAAAAAAAAAAAAGACGTTATTCACTGAGGCAGCATTTGTGTGAAAAAAATGATGGCTTTTGAGTTCAAAAAGGCAGATAACTAAGTTCAGCCATAATCTGTAGCATTTTAAACATTTTTTAAAGCATTTTAAGCATCTTTTAAGCTTTTTTTTTTCTTTTTTTGAGAGTAGAATTGGTTTATTATACACCAGGGCCCCATCTCCCCCAGAGCTGCTGAGCAGCCCTGCCCAGGCCAAGTCTAGTGCAGGGGTGGTTTCTCCTCTTCAAGGGAGCCACCTCTTGCCACCAGGCGCCCAGAACCAGGCTTGGGCATGCAGTCCTACTGATGGATGGATGGTCACTTGGCCAGCTCCTCAGTTACCACTTTGCGCATCTTGTCTTTGAGGTAGGCGCCCTTCTGCCACTCAGGCTTGAGCTCCAGCCACTCGTAGTAGGGGACATCGACCAGGAGGAAGCCCGCAGCCAGCACGTGGCGCCGGGCCAGGGCGACGCCGCCCATGACGTCCTTGCTCTGGCTGCTGAAGCTGGAAAACTCCCACCTCAGGAAGGCGAGCCTCTTGGCCCCTCAGGCAAGGGCTGATTCCCAGCTGGCTGGGCGAGGTGAGGTGCCACAAAGTCTCTGAGGGGTAGAAACTGGCCGTCGGCGTCCAGCAACACCTCCGCGTCGAGCAACCAGCCATACTGCATGGCCACTGCGAAGCTGCCCCGGTCTGCATTGCCCAGTAGCCCCTTCAGCGTCTCTGGCAGCTCCCTTTGCAGGGGGGTCACCTTCTGGTCAGGGGCTGGGGGCTGGGCAGCCACAGCAGAGGCTGGCAGGAGAAGGCCTGTATACCCAGGGTGCTCTAGGTGGGCAGTGGCGTTGATATGCAGCAGCTTCTGGAAGGTGCTCCGACCCTTAGGAGATGTGGTCTCTAGAAGTGGGGTGCGGAAGTCTGGGTCAAGGACGGCTCTCAGCTGGGCTTCCTGTGCCTGCTGCAGCACACACAGAGCCCACACCAGATCCACCTGCAGCGCTGGCTCCAGGCTCACGAGTGCCGGCCCTAGCTTCTCATGCACCAGGCTGAAGAACTTCTCTTCCTGCTCTGGGCGAAAGTTAAGGTGCGCAAATGTACACAGATGTACGGAAAACATCATCAGCGAGGCCAGTGTTATGGCACTGGTGTCTTGACTACTCATCTCTCAATCCCGGTCCCTGCTGATGGCCTGAGTCCAAGGAACCCAGTGCACCAGCAGAAGCCAGGCTGCAGCTCCAAGCTTCAAGCCGGCTGGTCCCAGCAATGGCAGTCATGTGGAGAGTAAACAAGTCTCTCTCTCTCTTTCTCTATAGATAGATAGATAGATAGATAGATAGATAGATAGATAGATAGATAGGTACAGATAGATATAGATAGATACAGATAGATATCTGTCTATGTCTGTATCTATATATACATATACACATATTCTCTTTCTCCTAAAAGAAAAATAAATATCATTGTTTTATCTCATTAGACAACATAATACCTTTTATTTGTATTTCATCATTTATTTTTAAAGTATGTCAAATAATTCAATTATTCCTCACAACCACCTGGTTCACATGTGAGAAAAGCTTGATGAGATGTATTTTTCAAAACTACAATGTCTTTTTTTTCTACTTTATTGTTCCTTCTTATACATGCAAAAGTCACATTAGAGGTTAATTCTTCAGAAGAACAATACCTTCTTTCAGTGAAGTCTTGCATCTATCTCCATGGACTCCAACTTAATTTGATTATTTCCGCAATATCTCTGTCCTTTGCTTATATATTAACCAATCTAATCAGTTTATGACTTAATCTTCTACTTTTTTTTTCACATTTCTGTCTCCATGCCATTTTTCTGAGCTAATCTCACAGAAAATGTCCTTTCTTTTAACCTGCATCTACCATTTTCTCTTTAACTTTACCTGTTTTTTCTTTGTCTGCCATCTACTGTATCCACCAAGATACAATGGTTGTCACCTGAGACACTCAGTCCTTAAAGCTCAAATTCCCGTCTAAGCATCAGCGACCATTAACGTTAAACCGCGTTGATTATCTTCCTAACTCAATGAGTCCTTCTGTACGTTCTCCTTCAATGTTCATACTTTTTTCTTCCCAAGGTCCTGTCTCTCAAAGAAAGAAACTTTGGAAATCATCATCTTTACCTAAACCTCAACAGTGTTAAAACACACAAAGTTATATGCACCAAGAGATACAGCAGTGTTGGGGATGTAATCAGAAAGTAATGAATTCTAGCTTTTGTTACTTGTCATCAAAGAAAGTGGCAAGTAACAGAACCAAGTTGGGCCCACTGTGCTCATTAGCATCCCAAAGAAATACGGTGGTCTGGTGATGTTCTGGTAGTCAGGACATGTTTTGTTTTCACAACCCCTGGATAGGTACACTGAAGTCTTTGGTGAGTGTTTTCTGAGACCCAGCAAATATATAGCAAGCAGAAATTATGGGTCAATTCTATGTCAGAGTACTGCTATTACAAATTGGAAACAAAACAGAGCAGATTAATGAAATGCTAACCACAACAGTGGCTTCAACCACAGCTAGTGTTCTTAGCCAACCCGCCCCCAATTTTCAGTTCACGAGATTATAAAACTTTTATTGTTTTGAAATTAATACTTTAATGAAGATCTAGCTCACTTTTTATTACAGCATGCTATTTTCAGATGTTTCTCTCCTTACACTAAAGCTTTCCAAGAAATACGGCTCCATTTACAGCATCCAAATGGGACTAAAGAAGGTGGTGGTACTCTCTGGCTATGAGACAGTGAAAGATGCCCTTGTTAATTATGGTGAACAATTTGGGGAACGACCTCAAGTGCCTATATTTGAAAGACTTTTTAAAGGAAAAGGTAATTAGCTTGGAACTCTAAACTTCTGCAGTAAATGATTAAATCAGATGCCTTGCACTGTTTTTTCAGGGTTTAATATTTTCTTCATCATCAAACATTACATAAGTAGTGCTTTTTAAAGAGAAAACATAATTTGCAAGTTTGTTTCAATTTACATGACAATACTTCTATACAATAAATGAATACTAACCATTGACTTTTTTAAAAAAGATTTATTTTTATTATTTTTTTATTGGAAAGGCAGATATACATAGAGGAGAGACAGAGAGGAAGATCTTCCGTCCGATGATTCACTCCCCAAGTGAGCGCAACAGCCAATGCTATGCCTATCCGAAGCCAGGAGCCTCTTCCAGGTCTCCCACGCGGGTGCAGGGTCCCAAAGCTTTGGGCCATCCTCGACTGCTTTCCCGGGCCACAGGCAGGGAACTGGAAGGGAAGCGGGGCTGCTGGGATAGAACCTGCGCCCACATGGGATCCTAGGCTTACAAGGCGAGGACCTTAACCACTGCGCCACTGTGCCGGGCCCACCATTGACTTTTAAAAGCACAGTGTTAGAGGATTGGGAAAGAGTCTGAGGCCATTAGCTTTGAGGTCATGATCTCACAGAACAGGTCTTACAGACCTATTAAGCCATATTTTCTCCTGGGTAAAATTTTTGCAGATTTACCATGTGAGTCTTGGATAAATGTAGAGTGAAATCCTGATTCTCATGATTTATGATATCCCAATAATGAAAAATTCTTTAAAACTAGAGATGAATTTCAAATCTGACTGGCTAATATTTTGGTTATAGATAAAGTTGTTTTTACTGTTGTCTATATCAAATCCAGTAGTATTTTTTTCCCTCACGCTGTCATGGCTTTTTCTTTCCTTTCATTTTTTTTTTTTTTTAGATTTATTTATTTTTATTGGAAAGTCACGTATACAGAGAGGAGGAGAGACAGAAAGGAAGATCTTCCATCTGTTGATTCACTTCCCAAGTGATCCAAATGGTCAGGGTAGAGCCGATCCAAAGCCAGGAGCCAGGAATTTCTTCTGGGTCTCCCATGCAGGTGCAGGATCCCAAAGCTTGGGCTGACCTCTACTGCTTTCCCATGCTAGAAGCAGGAAGCTGGAAGGAAAGTGGAGTACCCAAGACATAAACTGGCACCCATGTAGGATCCTGGTGTGTGCAACTCGAAGACTTTAGCATCTAGGCTACTGCTCTCAGCTCCTTTTTTTCTTTTTTTCTTAATGTCTTGAGACATGTTCAAAGAACAGTGACTGTATTTCCCCCTCTCTACATTCAATTATCCAAAATCATTCAAATAATTGTAAGCATAGTTATATCAATTTTGTATAAACAAAAGACAAAAGGTCCAGTGCAGGTATAATGACTCAAATTGGTTAATACTCCCCCTTTATAATGCCGGGATCCCATATGGATACTAGTTTGTGTCCTGACTACTCCACTTCCCATTCAGCTCCCCGTTTGTGGCCTGGGAAAACAGCAGTGAATGGCCCAAAACCTTGGGACCCTGAACCCATGTAGAAGGTGCAAAAGAGGTTGTTGCCTCCTGGCTTTGAATCGGCTCAGCTCCAGCTATTGCAGCCACTTGAGGAATGAAGCAGCAGATTCAAGATCTTTGTTCCTCCTTCTCTCCGTAGAGCCTGTCTTTCCAATAAAATTAAATAACCTTTAAACAAAACAAAAATAAAAGGGAAATTAAATTTGTGTTACTGGTTGCATTATTTTGCAGTGTTTATTAAATCACCTTAATAAATTATTTTGATGTGTAACAAATATATTTAATATTTTGATGGTAATTTTTAAGAGAAGCTCATTCCTTCATAGTGTTGAACTAATGTTCTCCACACTTATAGAAGCATTGTATTTGTTGAAAGATGCCATCATTTTCATCGGCCCTTTATAATTCTTCCTAGCCATACATTGTGAATTAAGCAAAAATATGAGATAAAGTTTGAAGAGTTACACATTTATTATGAATGTATGTTATGCAATTCAGGGTCCTTGAATAGAATCACGTTCTGTTAGTGTTAATATAAGAATCAATGCATACAGAATCTCACTGTTCACTGGTAAACTTTCAAAAGAATGACCAGCCATTAAACGGCAATAACAACTCTGAGAATACCTTCCCTGTCTTTTGCATGAATAAGGCTGGTACTACTCTAATATCTACATTGCCCTAGTCTATTCTAGTTTCCTATTTTTGTTTATCAGTGAAACTCAGAAATTCCTCTCATGTCTTGTATACCTGTAAAGAAAAATTGTTATTGGAGGTAGGACTACAACTAGTAAACGTAATATAAGCAACAATGCCACTATCAAGACAAACCCCATCATGGAAAGACATAGGTGACCTTAACTACCCTCTCTTGCCTGTTTTATCAGCTACAACAATATGTGTAAAAATTATTATGCACAGCGCTGATGTGGAAACTGAATTATACCATCAGTAATTATGTATTTCCAACTTTACACTTGAATTGTCTTGAATTTACTCCGACTTGCTTCTGGCAAGAGATACATTTTTACTACTCTTCATGAACTCCTCACCTATACGTAGCAAGATATGAGCAAATAATACATTCTTAATAATTTTGTATTGAATTTTTGGAGGAAACATAATTAAAATGAAAATTTTCAATTCTCAAGTATGCTTGCCACAGTTAATGGACAGAGAAAGCATGTATAACTCGGAGCAGTGATCTATCAAGTTAGCCTTGCACTGGCACAGAAGCTGACAGAGGAGGGCATTCTGTGTGCCCTGATATTCACATTTTAAAGAAATGGCTCCTAGATCTCTAAGAAAGACACTCCTGGGCTATGAAGTTGACAAAAGCATATCGGGCAGTCAGGTGGAGTTTTGCCCCTTTCAAAGAGACGAGAAAGTACAATTTTTTCAAGTATAATGCTGGGCAAAAAGAGAGGGAAGAAAGACTATTGTTAGTTTCAAGAAAAAGAATTAAGCTTTCAAAATGTGTATCCTTGAGAAAAAGAATTAATCTTTTAAAAGTGTGTCTTTGAAAGCTTTTAAATTTTGAAGGTAAAAATGTCTATGATATTTTTCCTCGTCTAAGGAATTGTCTTCTCTCATGGTGAAACCTGGAAAACTATGAGAAGATTCAGCCTGACCACCTTACGGAATTTTGGAATGGGCAAGCGAACAATAGAAGACACAATTATAGGGGAATGCCAGCACCTCATACAAAACTTTGAATCTCATAGAGGTATGCAGAATAAATAAAATCATGGCTTATTTTTCATGAGAAAGAAGTCAAGAAAAAATATTTTAATTTCTAATTTTGATATAAGTTCATATCTGTAGAAAAAAATTTCTGATAAACTTAAGTCTTAATATTCTTTTACTTTGTTCCAAGATTATTCTCCACTCAACACTTTGTATTTTCTTTTTTTTTTCCTGCTCTTTCTGTGTATATTGCATACAATAGACAAAAACATTTTTTAAGTAGCTAAGCTTTGATTTTCAAAAATCATGAAATTAGTATTGACATGATAGTAACATAATTTGCAGACCTTATGAAGACTTTCCCAATAAGGTCATTGTTCAGAAATGTCTTTATTACCAAAAGGAAATGTTGAATTGTGCACTACATTCAGCATCATGTCGTTTTTATGTAATTTCTATGTTTCTGATCTCTTTTAAAAATCAATTTACATTAGCTTTTTTATTTTTTCAATCTATGGAATGAATAGTCCCAAAATACTATTTTCATGTTGGTTTTCCATCCAATGATTCACTCCCCAAGTGATTCACTCCCCAAGTGAGTGCAATGGCCGATGCTATGCCGATCCGAAGCCAGGAGCCTCTTCCGGGTCTCCCACGCGGGTGCAGGGTCCCAAAGCTTTGGGACGTCCTCAACTGCTTTCCCAGGCCACAGGCAGGGAGCTGGAAGGGAAGCGGGGCTGCCGGGATTAGAACCGGCGCCCATATGGGATCCCGGGCATGCCAGGCGAGGACCTTAACCACTGCGCCACCGCGCTGGGCCTGGTTTGTATATTTAAAAGGGTTTTTAGATGTATTTTATTTATTCAAAAGACAAAGTTACAGAGAGAGGGGGAGAGACAGAGATTTTCCATTGGCTGGTCTCCTCCCCAGATGGCCTCAATGGCAAGGGATGGGCTTGTCCAAGCTAGGACCCGGGAGCTTGTTTCTGGTCTCCTATGTAGCTTTTGGGGCCCAAGCCTTTGGGTCACCCTCTGCTGCTTCCCCATGCTCATTAGCAGGAAGCTGGATGGGAAGTAGAGCAAATGGAACTCAAACCAGCACTCCATTCCACACAGTGACTTAATGTGTTACTCCACAAGGATGGGCGAAGAGGAGAGGCCCTTGGACATTGAATAAACTATTCCTTCCCAAGAATTAAGTTCCTAATAGATGTTAATTTTTCAGAGTTTCATGTATACAGCATCCCCAAGTTCTCCTATTTGAACGAAAAAAGTGATTCTCCATCAGAATCCTCCTTGGGCCTTAAGTCTCTGCATTTAAGGGTGGATCTTGGAAGCTAGTATATTTTTTACTTAAATATTCATGCCTGTCCACTGACCCATGTTTAATAACCTAAGTAATGATGTTGAGAGAAACAGCATGCAGTGACAGAAGAATGGAACAAAGAATCACCTTGCAGGAAGTTCTTGAATATAGAATCATGTCAATGTCTTATTTTAAATTTGAACACAGTCTATTAGATCGAATGGCATTTTATCAGATACACTCCCCACACCTCTCAAACACTGAACTTCTCTTCACCTGGCATATCTTTTCTGTTCTTTTCTTTTATTTAGCTAAACCATATACAGATATTTAGCTTCCTTTTGGAAATATTTCAAAAATTCTGAGTATTTTTCATGGCCTGCTCAGGTTATACACCTCTTAAGAAAGTATGGTCTCCAATGATTCCTTTCTCCTCAAAAATCCTTTATTTGACAATCTGTCTGAATGCTTCATTAGTTGACTTAATACTATGTACATATCCCTAACCTATTAATGAATCTCTTAAAGGAAAACCCTTTGAGATCAAAGCAGTATTGAACGCTTCTGTTGCCAACATCATTGTATCCATGCTGTTTGGAAAACGCTTTGATTATGAAGAACCTCAGTTCCTGAGACTCTTAACCTTAACTGGTGAAAATGTGAAACTTATTGGAAGTCCTGGAATTACGGTAATTGTGTATTTCCCATTCATTTTTGAATCCTCTGAAATAAACTTGATTGTCCAAGAGATCACATCAAATAATTTATCAGGCGACTGTCCCTTCAGATATCTTGGCTTTCTGAAACATTCTGACTATAGGAAATATCACAAGCTTACTTAACAAAAATATAATTAATTCTATCACAAAATACTCTATCAAAGCAATTGTCAACCACATCAATATTTTACTATTTTTGTAACCTTAAAATTTTGGTCATCTTTCTTTTTACCTGTACCACTAATTAAATGAGGAATGGGGTGGCGGGGAGGGGGCGGGCAAGGTTGTGTCATAGCAAGTATAGTCACTGCCTACAGTACCCACATCCCGTACAGGTGCCTGTTCCTATCCTGGATGCTCCACACTTTTGATCTAGCTCCCGGCTAACGCACCTGAGAAGGCAGCAGAAATGGACAAGTGCTTGAGACCCTGCCACTAATGTGGGAGATCTAGAACAAGTTCTGGGCTCCTGACTTCAGCTGTGCCCAACTCTGGCCATTGCTGTCAACTGGGGAATGAGCCAGTGGATGAAAGACTTCTATCTGTAACTCTGAATTTCAAATAAATAAGTACGTGTTAAAAAAATAAAATGAGTAAATAAGTAATAAACATGAGAGAATAAGAAGTACTTAGCAGAATTCTCTTAGGCGAGTGAATTTTAACCAAGAACAACTACTAAGTACTAAAAAGAAAAAAAGCACTAAATAGAATTCATCAATGTCACTTTATTTTGTATCATAAAAGTTTATAATAGTGTTATAATATTATTGTAATTTTTGTGATATATAAAGTCCCTCTCTTCTGGAATCTGGTAAAAGCACTACTGGTAATCCATCACCTACATTCATGTTGACTAATTTATGCTATTACTATAATATATCTGCTCTAAGTGCTGCCCTGTGAGGCAATGGAACAGGTAGCTATACTATCTACTTTAGATTTTTTAATAAATCACTTTGGAGATAATGAACCTTTTAAGACTATGACTAAATGCATAGACCTTATCAGCCCTGCATGCATTTCATACTAACAAACACAAAATTGAGCAAGCAGTACTGTTAATTTCCAACTTTATTTTGAGTCATTGAATATTAGAAACAATAGTATTTCTCAATAGAACCTGTAGACAAGAAGTCTGATAAAAATGTAACAATCCAACAGAAAGCTAATGGTATAGTGTACTGTGTAAAACTATAATAGCTTGTTTACTTGGAGTTGCCAATAATTTCTCAAGAAAAACACAGAATTGTAACGTGGGCTATAAAGTCAGTATTATCTTCACATCCCATTGAAGTAGCTCTATTGCTACAGGCATGAGAAGCAACATGATCAACACACAGCACTTGCAATGCATACCAACATTCATTGTAAATGACTTCATTCTGGTAAATGAGAAAAATCTCATTGTGTAGTTCAGTATGCCACTGTTACTGAGGTGAAACTCAAAGTGTTATTCTTAGGATGCTTTCAGAAATAATATCATTTTCCTTATCACAAGTAAAATACAAATATAGTTTTCCTTTCTTTTAGCTTTTCAATGTGTTTCCTGTTTTGGGGTTCCTCTTAAAGAGTCATAAGACAATCCTCAGGAACAGAGATGAATTGTTTGATTTTATAAAGATGACCTTCCTAGACCATCGTCATAAACTTGACAAAAATGATCCAAGAAGTTTCATTGATGCATATTTGATCAGACAACAGGAGGTAATGGTGTTCTTTTAAGAGGTTCTTTATTTTTTAATATTTAATTTTACTGGTATTCGAAAATGAGACTGTCCTTTTGAAGAGGAGACAATTAGATTCAAATTAATAATAAATTCATAATTCTAATAATGCTGTTTGTGTCATTTACATTCTCAAATATTTCTTTCCAATTTTAATATCACTCTGAAAAAAAGACACACAGAAGACCTGATATATGTTAATTTTTTAGAGTTAACATTCTTTTTTATCATTTTAAGAAATTTGCTCCAATTAGTAAATAAGAAAAATATTTTCAACTAAAATTGTTTTAAACATTTCTGGGAATATTCTGATCACACAAAAAGAATCAAAAGCTATCATCAAACTTCCTGACAGTGTCTTATTTTTAAAAGTATATATTATTTGTATCTGGCTTAAGTTTCATCCTAAATATTTCTATATTTCATTATAAAAAAGTGCATTCCATTCATGGAAGAATGCAATGATTTGCTATTTTAATTCATTTATTAAGATAATACATGATAAAATCCTTTCATCATTAATAATTGCTTATTCCTTTTCAGGAGACAGACATATCTACTGATTTTTTCAGTGATGAAAACTTGTTGGCACTTGTCAGTAACCTGTTTGTGGCAGGTACAGAGACCACAGCCTCCACACTGCGTTGGGGAATTCTACTCATGATGCGATACCCTGAAGTCCAGAGTAAGTCTTCCAAAATATGGAGCATTACTTGAAAGAAAAGAACCAAAATCTTTCTGACTAAAGATAGAGAATTCTGCAGCCTCCCTAGGCATCTGTAATTTGTATCCATAAGGATAGTTGGTGTGCTTAATTTCCTTTCCATGCGAGGGTGTAGACTTCACTCCTAGAGCACCCTGGGGTGGTCTGAACACATGACGGCATGCACATCCCCAGAGAAGCCTTAGGCGTAGGCACCAAATGGCTGAAGCCATGCAGTGGAAGGATGAACCAAAAATTGCTGAAATGCTCCGGTTTCCCTTTCATGAATTTAAAAAAAAATGGGGAAGATATTTTAACACCCATTCTAATGTAATGGCACTTTATCCAGAAAAGGTCTGTGAAGAAATCAGCAAGGTTGTGGGATCAGCCCAGCCTCGAATTGCACACCGAACTCAAATGCCGTACACAGATGCTGTCATTCACGAAGTACAGAGGTTTGCTGACATTCTGCCCACAGGCTTACCCCGTGCAACAACCACAGATGTTACATTTAAAAATTACCATATTCCAAAGGTAAGCGTTGAAGAAGCAGAAGTGAGGGTGGAAAACACGCCTTATAGTCAGAGAAGCTAGGGTAAACCATCAATGCAATTCATGAGCATTTTCTCTCTCTTTCTTCTTTCCCTCCCTCCCTTGCTTTTTATTTCCCTTTTCCAAAATTCTCTGCCTCCCACCAAAGCATTCAACAAAAGATAACTGAGAGTTTATACTGACTATGATAAAAATTCTACAAATTTTATAAGGTAGTATACTTTTTAGTTAAAAGTTCTAATAGTTTAAGCAATTCCTGGATTTGAAGAATGAATGGTCTATAAAGATTCCAGGATTCCAGGTTACGTGCACCAGTCTTCATCACCTGGGCCTCTTTCCAACAACACCTCCATCTGCGTTTCCATCCTCACACACAAAGATGTCTATGTCCTCTGCTTCCTCTGGATGCACACCTCTGGTATCCACTGGCAAACTGCAAAAATATATGTGAATCTTGCCTAAAACTGAACAGAAAACAGGAACTCCCACAAAGTCATTGCACACTCACAGCACTAATTAAGTTCCTCAATACCCAGTCTGTTAGTTGCTTCTGGTCTACCTCTGAATGAGTAGCGCTTCTAGTCAGGTGTGTCTCCTCCACAGTGTCACTTCCGCTCCTGTAAGCCTGGTGAACAAGGGGACTGGACTCACTATCAAAAAGTCTCCCCTCACCACACTGTTGGGTTGAACTCAATAGTGACACAGAATTTTGATTAAGTTCCCACCTTTTGTACGTGTGTACAAGAAGCCTGCCAAAGGAGTAGTAATAGCGGTAGGATTTTAGTCCTATCTGCTTTTCAGTGAGCTAAGTAGAACATTGTGATTGACAGTTTTGTGGTTCAAGGAGGATCTAACTGACCACTACATCACAAGTTGTTAGGTCACTTCATCTCTTTTGTGAAATGAACATCACCTCAAGTAAGCATTTGGCACATGCTTAAAATGCTGCTTGGGTATCCCATGTCCCATAATGAGTGCCTGGGTTTGAGATCCAGCTCCTGTGTCTCGAATCCAGCTTACTGCTAATGCGCAACCCAGGAAGTAGTACCTGATGGCTCAAGCACTTGAGCCACTGCCAATCCTGTAGAAGACCTGGGTTAAGTTCCAGGTTGCTGGATTCTACCTGATCCAGCCACACTTATAGCATGCATTTAGAAAGTAAATGCAAAAATGAAAGATCTCTTTCTCTAATTCTCATACTAAATGAAAATAAATGATAACTTGTTTTGCAGTAGTTTGTGCATAATAGATGAATACAGAAAGAAAAGAATATAAAGTGGTTGTTGTGAAGAAGAGAAAGTAATATATACACAGTTGTTCACAAATCGATGGACAGTTTTAAAACAAAATATTTTTTTTCAGATTTATCTATTTTTATTTGAAAGGTAGATTTATGGAGAGACACATAGAGAGATCTTCCATGAGCTGGTTCACTTCCCAAGTGGTGATAATCACCAGAGCTGAGCTCATCTGCAGCCAGGAACCAGGAGCTTCTTCCAAGTTTCCCACATGGGTGCAAGAGTGCAAAGATTTGAGCCATGCTTTGTGGCTTTTCCAGGCCATAAGCAGGGAGCTGGATGGGAAGTATAGCAGCAAGGACATGAACCAGTGCCCATATGGGATGCCAATGCTACAGGTGAAGGATTAGAATGCTAGACCAGTGTGCTGGCCCAAAAGCAAGATATTTTTTAAAGTAATGATTTGCTTTTTTTTTTTTAAAGATTTATTTTTATTATTTTTTCATTGGAAAGGCGGATATACAGAGAGGAGAGACAGAGAGGAAGGTCTTCCGTCCGATGATTCACTCCCCAAGTGAGCGCAACGGGCCGATACTATGCCGATCCGAAGCCAGGAGCCTCTTCCCGGTCTCCCACATGGGTGCAGGTTCCCAAAGCTTTGGGCTGTCCTCGACTGCTTTCCCAGGCCACAGGCAGGGAGCTGGAAGGGAAGCGGGGCTGCCGGGATTAGAACCGGCGCCCATATGGGATCCCGGACGTGCAAGGCGAGGACCTTTAACCACTTGCGCCACCGCGCCGGGCCCATGATTTGCTTTTTATGGATCAAGAGCTAGAGATTCATATGGGTAAAATAGCTATCATTGAGTATAGCTATATCCCCAAACGTACTTTAAGACAGCTGTGATTAATGAAGTAGTGACTATCTTTCCTAATTTCAAAGCAGTGCTTTTGTTTTTATTGTTAGTTTCATTTAGAAAGTTGCTTCAGAATTTGCAGCAAACAATGGAAGCAGAGGATCTTATTTTTGAGTTTTTATTTTGATGTGTTTTCCCAGGATGTTAGTTTGTACTATCGTAGTCCCTGAAGACTGCAACTGTTCCAGGTCCCTGCTCGTGTTCTTTCATTTAACTCCCATCATAAAAACTTAGAAACTGAAGTTTACCACAGGAATAGTAACATGCCGTTATCATGCATCCACTGAGAATCTTTTCCCAGTTTTGAACTGAGGTACTTTTGGTTGAACACATCTCATCTCAAGCCCTTCCTGCTACTTTGACAATCCCTTCGTCTTCCATATCTCTTCAGAGTGCACTGCTTCAAGAAAGTGACACACAGAGCCTCCCTCTTACAAAATATTTACAATATTTTATTTCTAGGGTACTGAAGTCATCACCCTGCTTACCTCGGTACTTCGAGATCAAACGCAGTGGGCGAAACCAGATGAATTTAATCCTGAACATTTCCTCAACTCCAAGGGAAAGTTTATCAAGAGAGAAGCTTTCATGCCCTTTTCATTGGGTAAGGAATTCCATCTGAGAAAGGGGGCTTGGAACATATTGGGAGATTTCAGCTTGCCCTGGTTTGTAGCAATCAGAACCCCAAATTATGTTGCGAGGGTCGAGTGAGCTTTAATCCATGTTCTCATCTTGTCACAAGTAAGAATACAACCAGGAGTTATAGAGGTGAGCCGAAAAGCAGGATTTGTTAAAATAAAAAGGGGTAATACAGAGTTGAGTGAACAACTTTATGTGGGATAATTGCCCAAACTCAGGTTAAGATTGCTCTAACAGGCTAAAAGGGTGGTGTTTGGGACCCGGCCTGATTGAAAATTCAAAGGAGGCAGATTTGGGGGTTGGGCTGCAGCACACTTGGTGATCTCCAGGAAGGCATTTTAACATCCGGTGTGTGATGGGCAGCGAGCCTCAGCTGTGTGCTGAGTTTTCCTCACCTTATTAAATTCAGTTGACATGGAAGGTGATGGGATTCGGGTGGTGCACACAGCTTGGCTTGTTGGCAGTCCCCAGCTCACTAGCTACCTGCATAGCCATATCAGAGTGTACTAACATTTTGTACTTCACATGACAATAATTTTTAGAACCATGGAAAAGTGGAAAGAACAGGACCTACCTCTCCCCAAATTTTGAACTGGTTATGGAACATATTTTTCTTAGATTCTTAGGATCGTTGAAGATTCTTTGTGGCTGAGCTTGGATACAACTATGGGAATTTGAGGAATGAATGAGCTAAACAGGGAGACATGGATAGCTCACCTCACCCCAACCAGAAAAGCTGCTTTGATGTATGTAAGCAACAGCGTGTTCTCATAGGATTTATCTATGGGGGCTAGGGATGAGGGTGGAAAAAGTTTGCACTAAGGTAAATTTTAAAATCAGAGAACTAAATGAACTTACTCCATAACTGGATTTTTAACAGCATGCACAAATTTTGTGTTGCCAGCAAGGTCTTAGAAAAACTGCACAACTAATAATTTGCTGTCTTGGCTTCTCTTGTTACACAAACAGTGGATCCGCATGTATTTCCTCCATAGAGAACCCTGCTGTTGGATGGATTTTCTTCACCCATAGTCACTAAGTGAGATGCAGCTACAGAGCACAGCCAATGCTAGTAATTTACACACACACACACACACACACACACACACACACACACAAATGCATGATACAATGTTACATGTGATAATGGCTTTGAAAGAAAAGTGCAGTATTTGCTGGTTCACTCCTGAAGCGGCTGCAATAGCCGGAGCTGAGCCTGTCTGAAGGCAGGAGCCAGAAGCTTCTTCCAGGTCCTGCACTTTGGTGCAGGGTGCCAAAGCTTTAGGTTGTCCTCTACTGCTTTCCCAGGACACAAGCAGGGAGCTAGATGGAAAATGGAGCAGCCAGGACACAAATCAGCTCTTTTATCAGATCTTGGACATACAGGGCAAAGATTTAGCCACTAGGCTATCACACTGGGCCCAGTAGTATTGTTTTTATAATAGACAAATAAATTAGTCTTAAGATTGGACAATAAGAAAATAAATTTGCTCTTCAACTATGATTGCTACAATCTCTTCAAAGCATCACCTTTCTCTAGCTGTGTTTAAGGATTCTTGTCTTAATTTTCTTCCTAGATTTATTATCTTTTGTGTTAGAATTTTACTCTCTGGAAAGCACTTTGATCCAAATGTCTTTCTTTTCTTTTTTTTCTTTACTTTTCTTTTCTTTCTTTCTTTCTTTTCTTTTTTTTTTTTTACTTCAAAGACCTCTCCTAGCTGTGCATACTGTTGTGCATCCCTTTCTTCTTCTTCTTTTTCAATAAGTGAGATCATCCTACTGCTTTCACCTATTCATGCTTCAGGGTCAACTATAATAATATGTGATTCATCTAGTTGGTAGCTATCTTGTACTGTGAAGCTGGGTAAAGCTTAAATATACAGTAGATAATAGGTGCCTTTAAGTTGCTTTAACATTGAATTAGATAATGTCGCTTAATCATGCATTTATTCCTGGGAATATGGCATGATCTAAAATGAGATGAGCTAAACTAAGTGCTCCGCCTCGGTTTGGGACACTTTATTATAATTACCTGTTTACTTGGTGCACTCTCCCAGCGCTCAGTAAGCATGTTGGCAGCAATAACCTCAGAGCCAAGCTCAACACCTCTATCATGTTAACTTTAAGCCTATGTTTGTGGACTGGATGGCTAGTTTTATATAATGAACATTTTCTGCAGCAGAAGTAATATCTATGGTCCTTTGGGGATAATGGGAGTGAGGGAAGGAATGTGGACAGGGTGAGAAGTATGAAAATGCTTTTAAAACTGCATATGTGCAATGAATGAAATGCATTCCCTTTGTGGAAATTCAAAATTTTTAAAAAGTCATGACCTTTCACTTCCTTAAAAAATTGCTTTTGTTACTAGGCAGAGTACAACACCATTCCTCTAATTCTAGAGTTAGTTTATTCCCTGGAGTTCCTATCAAAACCCAAGTGCTAATTTGACATACTTTATGTTGTGAAATATCTACAATTTAGTGTTTTGCTTTGCTTTGTTTTTTTTTCTGGAGCTTCAAAGTCTATTATGATTCAGTCCATTTGTGACTTACATGGAAACAAAAAAGAAACAAAAAATAGCATGGGGAATGGAAACCAGGCTTCCTGTAATACTTCAGTGGCCATAGAAAAGCATCTGGAATGAAAAGATTGGATGAACTTGTAAAGATCCTGAAGTTGAAACTTCTACTCATGCTATAATCCAGTCAAACACACTATCAACCACAAGCTCATTAAGATGAAAAAAACATGCCATGCTCAACACAACAAGTCTTAGGATATAATTATTCCAGCTAGAAATACAACACAGTAAGATAAGCTACGGTTTGTAGCACCCATTTCCATATCAGAGGGATTGGTACAAGCACCACATATCCTACTGCAAGTCCACTTCTCTGCTGATGCTCCTGGAAAGAGACCAAAAGATGATCTAGCTACTTGAGCCTCTTCTCCCTGTGTAGGAGACCAGGAGAAAGCTATGGACCCATGACTTGGGATTAACCCAGACTTAGCTGTTGGGGCTGGATGTGAAGTGAACCAGTAAATGGAAGATACTTCAGTTAGCTTGACATTTTCCCAAATAATTCATGCTTCTAATGACTACTAACGAAGACCCTCTTTTCACAGTGCTTCGGCAGCTTCTCTTCCTTGATTTCAGGTTATTGTGAGCTAGTCTCTACTCACCTGTCTGCCCAGAGTCTGAAACAACGTACCTCCTGCTTTGTGCTCCAGCCAGATTCAAAATTCTCCCAGTCCTCAATTTCACTTACCCTTCCACCTCTTACCTTACCTTCACCTGGCTAACTCCTTCTCATCCTTTGTCTGAAAACTGAGGTGAAATTCTCAAAGGATGAGCCCTCCCAAAACATCAAACCACATTAAGTATCTTTGCTATGTGTTGCATTGACACACTTGGCTTTATGCATCATAACATCTTTCACCTTAAAATTTTAATATTTAATTGCCTGTCTCCTTCCTGGAGCTCATAAGATAAAGCTGGCATTTGTATTTAATTTTGTATCTCCAGTGATCAAGTTGGAAGACAAAGCACATGAGACTCAGCAGACATCAAGGGATTAATTCCCACATTCCAAAGTAGTGATAATCACACATGAATACTCTTTTTGTGAAAATAGATCCCATATTTGAAAGCAATGTGACAGAAGAGAGGATGAGGGACAGGGGCAGGGAGAAGGAGGCAAAGTGGAGGAGAGAGAACCTTCCAAAAAGTGGCTCACTTCATAAATATCTTCAAAGGCCAGGACTAGACCAGGACAAAGATAAAAGTCAGGAAGTCAGTCCAAGTCTCTCGAGTGGCAGGGACCCAAGAACTTGAGCCATCATCTGCTGCTTCCCACGCTTATTAACAGGGAAAAGAAAGAGCCAGACTCAAATCAGCACTTGACTTATATATGTGATGAGGGAATCCCAAGCATTACAACATCCATTCCACTATCTATTCTTGTCATAGATTGTTTTTCTAGGTTCCTCTGTCTATAAGAATTATAATCTACTAACATGTCCATTTTTCAGGCCGGCGGATGTGTGCTGGGGAGTCACTTGCCAAGATGGAGCTTTTCCTTTTTTTCACCAGCCTCATGCAGAAGTTTACCTTCCAGCCACCCCCTGGAGTCTCCCATCTGCACCTGGACCTAACCCCAGATACTGCTTTCACCACTCGTCCAGTGCCTCACAAGATATGTGCTCTCTTCCGCACCTAGAATATCCATGCATGCTGCCATATCAGTTCTTGGTGTTGTTTTGCGGTGGACCCTGGCATGAATGTGTGTCTTCCCAGCAGCCACAATATTCCACTAAGTATTTCAGCATTATTTATGTAGTCACCCACATCATCACAAATCTTCCCAGATCACATCAAGTTAAGTTCTTGTGCTATTTGCTGTAGTAAAAACTTCCCTACTGACATCATATATAAGGTATCAAATGAAGAAGACACTGAACAAACAGAACCTTAATACTCTAGGTTTCTGTCCTTCAGATAGTAAAATGGATCAGTTCTCAAAGGTATTTGAAATATCTAAGTATCACCCAATCAGTAGCTATGCCATATATGTAGTGTTGTCTTTTCCCCCACTTCAGAACCAAACAGCAGTGGTTAGCAACAGGTAACTGAATGTGAGCTCAGCCTGCTGGCTCAGAATGCCATGGAAACAAAGGAGAGACAGGCCTCTCATTGATTCTGTCAGCTGTGGAGAGGCCTAGGGATACTTCTATCAACAATGTATGTCCGGAATATTGACTCACTCCTCTTCTTACATGTTTTTCTTCATGACCAGACCCTCCATGGTTGCTAACTATGATCCACTGACACCCTACCTCCTCAGAGACAATGAGTAGGGGCTCTATCCTCTCCAAAAGCCACAGTTCAAATGGATGGCTCCCAGGTCCTTAGGAAAGACACACCTGGATTGTAAAATCGGCAAGAAACTATTAAATGATTTACATCTCAACAGGGCATAAGGTAAAATTTAAAAATTAAAACTTTTCTAATAAGCATTCTAAGAAAGGGAGATCAAATCCTGCAATCAGAGAGAAAGCTGCATGGAGTCTAGCAATGCTGAGAGCGATTTAGCCAACATGGCTCATTCCCAAATCAGCATTTTCTACAAGGTCTTTCTGAAGTTACCCCAATGGGAAATACTCAGGTTGACTTCTCATTTGAACGAAATGAAAATGTAAATGATAAAGAAATGGAATCTGTTAATGTTAATTCGCTACTTGAACACATGTAAGGGTAGTTTTTTAGAGTTAAATTTAGTTCAGAATACACAATGTGAAATTCAAAGTCAGAATTAATTAGTGGGTTTCTTTCTCAAACATAAGGAATTACACAAATGACTTTGATTAGATATGAGGAAATATGAGGTTTCTTTTTTGAAATATGAATTTTACTTTGATCCTGTGAGTTTTCTGTTATTACTACAACTTTATGACCACATAGTAGCAGTGGCAGGTTTAAGCAAATAATTATTAACACAAACAAAAAAATCTATTTACTTATAATTACAATGTAAAACAATTACTTTTATCCTTTGGTTACAGCCTGATATAGCAATAATTTATACAAACAATTGTCCATCGTAAACTTTACTAAAATAGAAATGTCTGCAAAAGAAACAAGTCAACTAAATCGTACACTCATACAATGTTTTACTTCTTTAGTCATTATTTGGTCATAAAATAACTTACATTATAAGAAAATAAATTTTTAATTTTATATACATGATAAGTTATATATAAAGTCAGAATTGGACTAACTTAAGGTTCTCGTCTACTATGGTAGAACCAAAGTTTAGAAGAGCTGGAATTCTGGCACCTCTGCAATGTTGTGCTATTTCTTTAACTGTCGGTTTAACACATTCACTTTCCGAGGATGCACTTGTGACATATGATAAGAGCAGTATATATGATAAGATCCCGCCTTATCTGCCAATGTAATTGGGGTACCATCTCCTCCCTAAATACAGGGATGGAAGGCAGGAGAGAGTCTTCTCTCCGCTGTGGACCCACTCATAGATCCAATCCTCGTTTCTGCTCTTTGTTCCTCACAACACACTCAGACCCACCACCTTTATGTGTACTCTTCCCCCACGGAGTTTGGGGGGATCTTACCCACTCTCCTGCTCTCCCACTTATGGTCAGATCTTTCAAGTTATAGGCACAATTTTTGGTTTTTCCTTTCTCTCTAGTTCAGAGTCAAGTCTTTGGGTATTTCAATGTTGGGTATTTCTTACTGTGAGGAAGCCAACACTCATGTGTGAATATACGTTTATTCCCTCACGACCAAATAAATTCTGTTCTTGTTTGCACACAGCACTGGTCTCTGCTTAGTATTTTGTCTCTGCAGGAAGCAAGAATCTGGGTTCTAAAAAAATGATATCTATTAATTACCCACATCAGCTACAATTGCAGTGGTATTGTTTACATGAAGTTTACTCTTGAAGTGTAGGCATATATAAGTGTTGGAGACCCAGCATGTACTCAACAAGCTTGAAAGATTCTGAAACCATAAGAGGTTGCTGGCAAAATGAACGCAATTGAGCCTCTGTGCATGCAAATGTGTGCATGTATGAAAGAGACAGAGGCAGAAAGGCAGATACTAAAGCAATAACATCGACAATTCTTTAAATGAGCTTCAAGACAGAAAAATAGCTAAGGAAATAAAAATGCATTAATTTAAAGCTTATGTTTACAATCTTAAAATTTAAACAGTAACCACAGAAATCTTTTTGATTTTAAATGAACAGAAGTTTTTTTATTCGTTTTGCAGAGAAGTATTTCATATCTGAGTACATAGCAATAAAGTTCAGACACACTTTTAGTCTGGATTTTTATCACTTTTAAAATCTCTAAAGATAATGTCATATTGTGATTCAAGGCATGGCTGATTATAGGCCACTGAGTCCATTTTCTTCCACTCCAACATAAGCACGAAAGAGAACCATAACCACTTTTATCACAAGATTACTTCACTTGTTACTACCCAATTAGAATAGAATGATTATATAGCCTGATCCTTGGAATCTTTAGGATTGGGTCAACCTGAGCCTGTGTAGCAAATCAATGGCTTGCTCAGGGCTTCCTATGAGTAATGAACTCCAGCTGCAGAGAAGCCTCATGGAAATGAATTGCATGTCTTTGTAAAAATTATCTGGCAGCTCTTATGTCTCCTAAGTAAGGTGAATTGAAGCTATTCAATTGTATCCACTTTTCCATGGACCTAGTAGGATCTCAGATTCAAAGGTGCGAGAGTTCCTCTAAGTAGTATGCTCCAGTAGACATAGAGCAGCTTCAACCTCAGGAATTTGTGTCAGGGAAAGTCATATAACCAAGAGGGGGAGATTCAAAAAAGGGGATGCAGGGTACAGGGTCAGAGAATCTAAAAGAGCTTATTCATCAGAGCTTCTCTCTCTGATGACATTTCAGAAGGGTTATCATGCAGTACTGTGCTTGTAAGGGTGGGATGACTAGTCAACCAAGGAAAGTTGCAAGATGCCATTCTGAGTCGATTTCAAACACACAACCAATGAAGGTGCTTAAACAAGCAAGTACTCTTTTTCTCCCCACTTCCTGCATATCAGACACTCCCCTAAGCCTTATTAAAATCCCTAGCAAACTTGCTTCTCAGGAAGACTGTTTCAAGTGGAGCACTCTATCTTCGCATTTACTTCTCACAGATAATAAAACTTTGAGGACATATTTAAACCTCAGCTGTGCCTAGGTGGGCTCTGAGATCTGTGATTTCATTCCCCAGAATTTTGTGACAGAGCTTTGTGGTATCTCACTCCACCGTCAAGGTTGTTCCAAAGCTAAATAAAGCCCAAGTGTGGAAATGCTAGCTCATATATAGCAATATATGAGAAAGAACAGCAGAGTCTGAGTCAAAACCAGTGCTCTGGGTTTGATGCTATTTCTTGCAGGCTTACTTTCTGACATTAAATAAAGACTAAAGCTTAGTTAGGAAAAGTGCAGCTGGGACCAGCACAGTGGCATAACAAGCTAATCCTCTGCCTGCCAGCACCAGCATTCCATATAGGCATGGGTTCCTGACTCACTGCTCCACTTATAAATCAAGCTCTCTACTTGGGAAAGCATAGAGGATAGCTTAAGTCCCTGGGCTCCTGTGATCATGAGAGAGACCAGGAAGAAGCTCCTGGCTCCTAGCTGTAGACCATCTCAGCTCTGGCCAGTTACAGCCATTTGCGGAGTAAACCAAAACAATGAAAGACCTCACTCTTTGTCTCTCCTCTCTTTATATAAAACCTGCGTTCAAATAAAAGAAATCTTTTTTTTTTTTTTTTTTTTTTAGCGAGCCAAACAAAAACAGCACTAATACTTGTTAAGAGAAGTGTTATTTTCCTGACACTGTTAGAAATGCTTTTTCTCTAACATAATCCTAGGGAAAACTCTCTAAAGTCGATATCATTTCTTAAAGAATGGCTTCTATGCAAAATAGCCTGCAAGGCCAAGCCACAGTCTCTGCACACATCAACCCAGTAAACAGGATTTGGTCCATGACCACAGGCCTCCTGTTTTTGCATCCTGTCAACTCAGGACCCACCTGGAGAATGTCTTACACCAACCGGGTGAGACACTGTGCTCCACGCAACTCATCTGCAGATTCCCCCCGCAAACATGACACAGTCAGAGTAAGCATGAAACCTTTTCATTATGGTGAAAAAAAAAAGTACTTCTCAGGACAGCTGAGCAAACAATGAAGCTATTTAAGACTCACATATTCAAGAGCATTGTTCACAGATAGAGACTGCACTCAATTCTTTTGGACCAAAAAGTGGGAGTGTTTTTGAAGCATCGTTTTGAGGACCCTGGGAAAGGACACGAGCCAATGTAATTATGTCATCTGTGTTTGCTAACTGGCATTTATTGAAGAAGAAATTGAGAGGGTTAGGAGCCTTATCTTATTAAATGACTAAATTTCCAAGGGATTGATCCTTGTTTCTTGAGAAAGCATTCCTAGATTGCAAAAAAATCTTAAAAGTTGAGGAAAGGGGCCCGGCGCGGTGGCGTAGTGGTTAAGGTCCTCACTTTGCACGCCCGGGATCCCATACGGGCGCCGGTTCTAATCCCGGTGGCCCCTCTTCCCATCCAGCTGCCTGCCTGTGGCCTGGGAAAGCAGTCGAGGACGGCCCAAGGCTTTGGGACCCTGCACCCGCGTGGGAGACCCGGAAGAGGCTCCTGGCTTTGGACCGGCATAGCATGGGCCGTTGTGGTCACTTGGGGAGTGAATCATCGGACGGAAGATCTTCCTCTCTGTCTCTCCTCTCTGTATATCCGCCTTTCCAATAAAAATAAAATAAATCTTAAAAAAAAAAGTTGAGGAAAGGTTTCCAATTCAGAATGCAAATAAACTATTTGCAATAGAATAAAATCTCTAAAGCTCCACCAAAAAAAAAAAAAAAATAGGAATGGGGTGCTTATAAAGTCAGGAAGGAGTCTATCTGAGGTTTAGTCAAGTGAAGTAAATTTTTAGGTATTCTTGCTATACATGATGTGACATCCATTGAAACATTATTCAGCCATTAAACAGCATGAAATGGTTACATTTCTGACAATGCAATGAACCCAGATGATATTCTAATAAGCCAGCACAGAAAGGCCTGATTTAACACTTGATCACATCCATATGTAAAACCTAAACCACTGCAGGCAGGCATTTGGTACAGCGGTTAGTACACTCCTTTTGAGGCCCACAAGTTGCACACTGCAGTGACTAGGTTCAAGTCCAATGTCTACATCCGACACAGCTTCCTACTAGAGCACACACCTGGAGGGAGCACGTGATGGCTCCAGTACCTGGGTTTTTGTAACCCACATGGGAGACCCTGGCTAAGCTCTAAATGCATGCCTTTGTCCTAGCCCAGCGCTGGCTATTTCTGGCATTTGGAGAATGAAGCAGCATATGGAAGACCCCTGCTATGTTTCAAATCAACTGAAAGTGGTTACAAGAGGCCGAGGAGAGTAAAGGGTGCTGGGAAGTAAGAACAGTTGGGCAATGAGTATAATATTATATTAGAAGAGAAGGTTTCTAGCATCCTATGGCTCATCAAGGTAAATACAATTAACAATAATGCATTGACTATCTCCAGGTAGTTAAAGGATTTTTAATTAACAACAATAAAGACATGACAGAAGTTTAAGATGACAGTCATGCTAATTATCGTGAGTTGATCACTATTCAAGGTACATAAGAACAAAAATTTATCTCATACTACAAAAGCATATACAAATATTATGCATCAACAAAAATTATATATACATCATCTTGGTCATTGAAATGTGTTCTCACTACCCTGCGTACCTCTGTTTTCTCACCAGGCACAAACAATGCTACTGACTCACTACACCAAGCTGTGAAAATACAACCTGTTTATTTTTGTGAAAGCTACTTCTTAAAGTATTGCTACTCTGTTTTAACTTTAGGAATCCGAGTTTAAATTTAAAGCTTATTCCACACTGTGAGCATAAACAAACCATATAAAAAGTGCTAATGCAGGTGGCAGGGTGCATATGAACTGATTGTGACTACTGATTCTTGGGCAAGTCCTCTGGATTGTTTCTTTTCTTCACCTAGAGAAATACATTCACCAGGATTTGCTCTCCCTAATCAAAAGGCAAAGCCTCCCCTACAGTTAGAAAGATCTGGGTGTTCAAGAGTCATAGTTCGTTCTTTCCTCACGGACTCAGCAATGCAGTCTGTGGCCCCACCTTTTCCCTGCCCCTCGCAGTTCATCAGGAAGGCTGACAGACTCAGACTCCAGGGGTGCTGGCAACCACGCTTCCTTGAATGATTTCCTGTTCTTCTCCCCTTGAGGAATTTTTAAAAATCCATTATTTCACATTCTTAGAAAATGAAAGATGAACATTTCTGAAACAGTCTGAAACCCAATAGCCAATCAATGGTTCATTAGGAAAAGCATTACAATAGCGAGGTTATTCTGGAGGATATTACAAAGCTTCTTGCAATTTACACATTCACAGATGCAACAGTTCACCCTTCTGTTTAAAGGTTTCAAAATTCTACATATTAGTAACAATTAACAGAGAATATATAAAAATAATGGCTTTTTCGTTTTAACAAGTGACAGATAATGATGAGGAACTAAATACAGAGTATATACAAGTGTCTCTAATACTTAAACCTTGTCAAAACAAAAATTCTGATTCAGTAGGTCTGGAAAGCTCTATACTGAAAAATACATTGTGGATTCCAAGGCGCTAGTCCCCAGAGTAGTACTAGTTCCTGAGTAGCACTGGTGTGTGTTATATAAAGTCAGTATTCAGAAAGCACATAGAGGTTACACTAAGATTATTTTTATATAGTTGATGCTTAGGAAAATGTACACATATATGTATGGATACCCATAAAAATAGAATATATAAAAGCCATACAACACAGAAAAGAGTAAAAGAAATTTGGGGTCATGGAGAATTTTCTGTTCTGTTATTGAAATTTGTTTTCTTCACAAAATAATATTCATATGTTCTACAATGAATGAACTTTTTCATTTAATAGAAATCTTTCCCTATCTATTTTTTTTTTCCTGAAAGTGTTGTGCCGGTTTTTGAAACCCCCAGATAATCATCAAGTCTGAAGTCGGTGCTGAGGCAAAAAGGTGGTTTATTCAGGTTAGCCTAGGTAACCCAGCGACCTCCCGCAGCCCAGCATGGCTGAGCGGGGGAGGGGCAGCCGCAGCCGAGGCTGCAAGGATCCACAAGGAGGACAAAAGAAGCGCGAGCCAGAAGAGCGAGGGAAGAGCCCAAGCCCCCCAGTTCTTATACATTTCAGGCTATTAATTGTACAGTCATGACTTAGCAGGCTTCTATTGGTGGGTTTGAAACAAGCAACTTTCAGCTATTGGGCTGTGAATCTTATCAAATACCAGGTACTTCCTTCCTGAGGAGTGGTCTGCCTACGTGACCTGCCAGGTGTCCTGCCGGGTGCCACGTAGGCTATCAGGCCTGAGGTTCACACAGCCCCCAGCCAAGCCATTAAGGCAGAATCACAAAAGGCAGAAAACGCCTAGGTTCTTCAAAAGCAAACAGTCAGGATGAATTTTAGCATTAAGGAATGTTAACATCCAACATCCAACAGCAAGTCAAATGGATTTCAAAGGTAATAAAGCTTGAGAACAAAGTTTTAAAAGAGGTGAACACTTGACTGACCCAAAAGTTATGCAACTCAGGGTCATTCAAGTTATTTCTTTTGGGGTCGTTCAATTCGCTGGGTAGGTGCTGCAATTCTTTGGTGTGGCTCATCCACATCACACACTTTTAGATGGTCATAATTTTCAGTGACCTAGCAGTAAGACCAAACAGCAAAAGCTTAGCCATTCTCCCTATTTGCTGGAACTGAAAATGTCCAAGATTCAGTCTGTATCCACTCCCAAGACATCCACGGCGGGGGGAGGATTCTTCATCTCTCACAGACAGGACTCTGCCTGGATCCAGAAAGCCTGTGAAGCAAATGCAACAGAATTGAAACTCACTAGGTTTTGTTTCCAGTGAGACACCTGTTTAAAGAACTCTATAAATCTGATGGTGGTGGCTATTAGAAAAGTTGACTAATCACTGCAAAAGTAACTTTTCACTGGAAACAAATGAAATTTATCATATTTAGATTAAAGGAGCTAAGCTTGAACAAATGAGTACTTTTTTTTTTTAACAGGAAGGAGACAAAATTAAACTTAAGGGTTCCCACTTTGTTGGGATTTAGAATCGGATTTAGAATCTCAGAAGGGAAACAGACTAACCTGACAAATCGTAAACAAAGTATTGAAAGCTGCTATCTGCCCAGAAGACCCAGCTGGCCTATCTACCCAGGCTCGGTAGAGCACAGAGCATCTCAGATTGTTGAGCCTCTGCCTAAGTTCTTCAACCGTGGTGCAAACTATTGTTAAGGAACTTAAAGAATTTAAGGAATGTATGCGCTGACCCATGGAGTGCTGGCAAACACTAAAACTAAACCTTTACTTTCAGGCTACAGAAAAGGGTCTTAGTAAGAACACTGATTTAGTTTTAACTTTATTTTTTGTGTTACTTACATTTTGCTCTCTGTTAGTTAATAAGACAAATCTTACATTGAAAAACGAACTAAACAACACAAAATCGTATTAATAATACAATAGATAACTTTGAATATTCATTATATTGCACACTTGCTTTAAGTATTTCCATTCAACTTAATGCTAGATATAACACTGTGAGATTGCTGTTCATTATTCTCATTTAACAAGGCCACGGAGAGATGTGGAGAAAAGGCACTTTGTCTAGTCTCATGGATAGATAGAGACACACCTGCTTTTGAAGCTAGTTTTAAATGCTAGAACTTACTTCCATTAAAAAAGTTAACTTGAAAGATGTTAGAGTTTAAGATCATTTCAAGACTTTTTTTTTAAAGTCTATATTCAGTGCTCAGTCACCTAAGGATGCGATTACTCAAGCAAATTAATAAATTCAGGTATAAAATGCGTTTGCTACAAAGGTTAACCTCATATAAAAACCCGGAGCAAGGTTCCTGGAAGAAAAAGGAATCCATTTTATGGTCCAATATTACCTTTGCCGCTTAACAAGCAGTTCTGAACACAGAGCTGTCAGGTGCTGGATTCCTCTCTCTGAGCGTGTCTGAGTCCTTCCGGAGGGTGAGCCTCCAGCCAAGTGGCATGGCAGGATTCAGGGGCTTCTGCTTTGGTTTCTTAACGAGAGGGATCCAGGAATGGGTTACTGCAAAATGGGAATCAACAGCATGCCTTCTCATTTCAAAGCTCCCGAATCTGCAGAGTTAAAAACAATTACTTTTTCTAGCCTTCATCAAATGGCCTAGGTCCCAGACCTTCCGGGTTTACAGAAGGTAGTTAAGCTCCCCCAAGCATTACTCTGCTCACAGTGATTCACGGTGTCTCAGCCGCCGTCTGCCTTCCCGGTGCGCCTGGCCAGCTTCCTCCAGGTTCTCTAATCTCCTCCGGGGATAGGCTGCTCTCGCAGGGGACATACAACTTTCCGCTGCTAAGACGCAGTAAGCACAGTCCGGGCTTGGGAAACGGACCCGGGGTTCCCAAGGACCGTCTCACTCCCTGCCGGTGCGGAAAGTGACCGCGGTCATGGAGCGCTCCTCAGTCTTGGTGGTCATTTGGCCCCTCGTCCACTCGGTCTGCAGCACTTCCTGCGTCTCATGATAATCCATGACCCGCACAAGCACAGACTTGGGGACGGCCTTGGGGGTCCGCGGTGGGAACCCGGGGACAGTGGCTATCCGCGGGCCAGAAGTCCTCTTTTCTCGAGGATACTGAGAAAGGCCGTCGGGGTCCCGGTGGTGGCCGTCTCCACCCAAGCGCGGAAGGTCCCCCCAAGCAGTCACCTCTTCCAGGCGAGGGTCGCCGTGAGCCCCCATCCACCTCTCTGGATGCATTAGAAACAGCACTTTCTCTCGGACCCAGGACTCGCAGTTCGAATTCTCTCCGGCCCTAGGGCCTGCAGACCGATCTCGAGGACCACGATCCCTGGTTCCCTTCGCCCCCGCCGCCACCGGCGTCGGTGCGCTGGGAGCCTGGGAAGCCGCGCGCCTCACCTCGTGCGGAAAGGACCCCGTGCGCCTGGGGGGCTTCGTGGGACTCGCTGCTTCACGAGGCGCCCAGGTTCTCATCCTGGCGGCGGGATCGGTCATCGGGGCTTTTTTCCGCCGGTCCATGCAGCAGGCTCCAGCTGAGCTCCGGCAGCACCTGGCCTTGGGTGTGGTCTCAGCGGCCCGGGACTCCCGGCCAGCGAGAGCAGGAGACCGGATCAGCCTCAGGCCAGCCTGGCGCCGAACCCCGCCCCCGCTGCTTGGGCTGCTTCCCAAGCCTCTTCTACCTCGCACCTCTCTGCCCCATCCCTCTCGGCCTGCCTGCTACACCTGTGTTCCTGTCCCGTCTCAGCGCCGTCCTGGTTTCCCACCCACAGTTAACATCCCTCGGAGGTCATGCGCAAAAGATTGCCTCATCCCACGCCTCCGCCTCCGAAGCAACAGAACAAAGTCTACTTTCTTTATGCGGATATTCCCCCAATATACGACCAAGGAAGTTTACAGCTGTTTTACATTCATCTGAGCTAAAGAAAATTCCCCTGTATAGGACGTTTCTGTCCTCCAGACCCTCTCCCATCGTGCGGCTGGAATTTCCCAGTGTAGAGCAGAGTGGAAAAGTTAAAGCTGTGGAAAAACAGCCTTTGGTTGGCTAATCTGTGTAGTGGGCAGCCTTGGCTTGGTTCTGGTTCTAATCAAAGTTTATCTCAGGGCGGAGCTTGCTGTTACTGGTTTGAAATAAGCCACAAAACAGAAGCAGAACAGGTAGAAATGAACTGCTAAATGAACTTAAAGATTTAAACATGTTAAAAGCTTGCACTTAAAAAAAAAATTAATAGCCCTTCTCTCTCTGCTTCTACTGTGTAGGGGTTAAGAATGTATATACATACAGGTGTCCCTGACTAAGCCATGGGAATGCGCTCACCCTCACGGTGATCCTTGCCTGCAGGAGAAAGCTAGCTGAGAACGTAAGAGAAGGTCAGGTTGTGATTTAAATCCTTTCCATCCTTGGGAGCAGGAGGTGGTTGGGAAAAAATGCCTTCTGCTTTCCTATCTCATTTAGGAAAACAACTGCAATGGTGGAAAATTTTGCCCATATCTGAAAGACCAGGAAATACAATGAGAGATTTTTGAAAAACAACCTTTCGTGTCTGTTATATGAACAACACATGGTGTAGGAGCAGTAAAAATAAATCCTGGTTGGTGCTGGCAATCTAGAGGTAAGCCTGGGTTAGCTGCTATTGGATAACCAAGTTTTTCGATGTTTGAGACAAGAATCGTTCTAAGTATTCTGTAACGTGTAACGCGACTGTTGCTAATGACAAAGAAAGTGCTATTTTTTGGTTTTTTTTTTTTTTTTTGCTTTTGTTTTGATAGTCTTGGGTCTTTTCAAGCACAAGAACCAAGTATTTACTTGGGATGGGACCCTGATAAGCAGGGGTTCTAGGAGTCTGATGCATTTAAATGTTTGCTCCAAAATGATCTCTAGTTTACCCTTCTATTTTAAACCTATGATCGTGTATTTCAATGAGCTACCCTATTCTGAAAGATCGTGTGTGTTCTTGTAGGTTTCAAGTAGGGCTTAAAATACAGATTTTTTTTCACTTGTCGTTTTTCCCCACTTAAGATTTATTTAACTGAAAGGCATAATGAGACATAGAAAGAGAGAGAGAGAGAAGAAGAAGAATCTTTTATCGCCTGCTCACTCAAAAGTGTGCTGCAGCCAGCCAGAGGTAGGCCAGCCAAAGCCAGGAGCCAGGGACTGCTGAGTGACAGGAACTCAGCACTTTGTTAAGGCAGCTAGGTAGATAGTATCTATGTGTTACGAGGGACCAGATAAAATGAGAAGAAAATTATTTTATGCGCAATGGGACAAAAAAACAAACCCTGGAAGCAGGACCCAGCCTCTTGTCTGTCTCACCAGGCCCAAGGTGTCCTGGCCTCTCTTATCAAAAGGAATTAATTGAATTGAGCAAGCAATACAGCTGGTCCAACAGGGTCAGACTCACTAGGCTTGGGAATCGTTTGATCGTGATAGGTAAGAACCTTGATGATCAGTATCATTTAGAGGAGTTTATTTAGGAGAATTTGAAATTCAAAACTCCCCAACCCCGACTTTCCAGAAGAGGGAGGAGGAGAGAAGAAATGTGCTGGGGTGGGGGGAAGGGTGGGGTGACATACTTGTGTCAATAAAACCCTCCAGTCTGAATGCAGACTGCATGCTCTCAGGTCTTTACTGAGCTGCTTGCCTGGCCTGTCACATGTAGCAACTTGTACCTCTTCAGTTTTTCTAATGAGTTGAAATCAATTTCTCATCTGCGTCTTTGTCAACCACATTCTTTGACATTGATGGAACAAACCCCTGTGGTTCAAACCGGCAGTTACAACTTGGGCCATCACCTGCTTCCTCCCAGGCACATTAATAGGAAACTTCATTAGAGGCACGGAGTAGCCAAGATCAAACCACACCCTCCAACATGGGACGTGGATGACCTCAGCGCTGACATCTCTCTGACATAACGCCTGCTCACAAAGCTCCTGCTTTCCAAACATCTGCAGAGATAAACTCCTGCCCTTCCTTGTCATCGCTTTCTTTTCTGTTTCAAAGGAACACTTCTTAAAGTAATAGTGAGAACACGATCCATTTTTTATGTGAGGGAATCCAATTTTTGCTTTTGTTTATGTTTTTGTTTAGTACTTGCTGGACTTGGTTTAGTAGGATTTCACATTTTTCAGTTATAAAGCGCACAATACCAGGCCCTCAAATGAAGTGGAAATACATATCAGGAGAGATCAAGTGGGATGGACAATCCAGATTAGTCCTTTGGCTACCAATAGGCTCAGGTGCCCTTGGCATTAAGAAATGCAATAATACAAGCAACTGATACAACATAGTAATGAAACTAATCAAAAAAATTACTAAAACTTTACCTTAAAAACTTAAGAAATGCACAGTAGAATGAAAATGCTTGAATTCCAATATATTGGCTATAGGTTGTGTTTCTATAACTGGTTCTAGAATTAATGTGACCCTGTAAGGATCCTTGTTGAACTGGCAGATTAGCTGTACATTGTGCTACTCGAACAACAGAATTTAAAATTCAGACATAGTTTTCTTTTTCAGCAAAGACTCGTGGGCCTAGTTACATACAGTAGATCAGTTGGAAGCAAATTTGTCCTAACAGTTTCTTTAGAGATAAATGAGACCGGCATGCTATGTCAGTCTATGCCCATTCACAAAGCAATTATCGACAGAAAAATAGTTATTGGTAGTTTTAACTGTGACTGGAGATCTTCAGTCCACTAGCACACTCGCCAAATGGCTGCAGTGCTGGAGCTGAGCCTGTCCAAAGTCAGGAGTTTCTTCTGGGATTTTTTTTTTTAAGATTTATTTATTTTTATTGGAAAGACAGATATATAGAGGAGGAGAGACAGAGAGGTAGATCTTCTGTCTGATGATTCACTCTCCAAGTGACTGCAGCGGCTACAGCTGAACCAATCTGAAGCCAGGAGCCTCTTCCAGGTCTCCCACGCGGGTGCGGGTTCCCAAAGCTTTGGGCTATCCTTGACTGCATTCCCAGGCCGCAAGCAAGGAACTGGATGGAAAGCAGGGCCACCGGGATTGAAACCAGCACCCATATGGGTTCCCAGCAAGTGCAAGGCTAGAACTTTAACCATTACACTATCGCGCCAGGCCTTCTTCTGGGCCCCTTACTTGGCTGCAAGGGCACAAAGATCGGCTATCCTCCACTGCTTGTCCAGGCCATTAGCAGGGAGCTGCATCAAACCTGGAGCAGCTTGGACCTGGCGCGGTGTAACTGTAACTTGGACCTGGCGCGGTGCCTAGCATCTGAAGTCCTCGCCTTGAAAGCGTCAGGATCCCATGTGGGTGCCGGTTCTAATCCCAGCAGCTCCACTTCCCATCCAGCTCCCTGCTCATGGCCTAGAAAAGAAGGTGAAGATGGCCCAAAGCCTTGGAACCCTGCACTAGTGTGAGAGACTTGGAAGAAGTTCCTGGCTCCTGGCTTTTGATTGGCGCAATACTGGCCATTGCGCTCACTTGGGGAGTGAATCATTGGACAGAAGATTTTCCTGTCTCTCCTCCTTTCTGTGTATCTGACTTTGCAATAAAAATAAAATTAATCTTAAAAACATGGAGCAGCTGGAACTCAAACCGATGCCCTTAGGGGATGCTGGCATTTCAGCCAGAGGCTTAGCTTATACTTTGCCAAGGAGCTGGCTAAGAGATTTTTTTTCTTTATAATGTTATCTGGCTTACTCTGAATAATTTTTCTGAGTTGGCCTATAGTAGAGCTTGAGGGATGAAAATCAAATAAATAAATAAGTAATAAATAAAAGTTAAAAAAAAGTATGCAGAAGATGCCTGAAGTGCTTGGTTTAAGACCCACTGAATTATGGTATCTTTAAGTCTATAGCACTAAATAAAGAAATACTTAAAATAAAAAGTATATTAGAAAATTAAAAGTAAGGACACTCAATGAAGAGAAGACAGCTAGTGTTATTGAGAAAAACTTTTTGGAAAAAGTAGAATTCTACTTACATTGGTTTAGGTACTTGGAAGATACAAAAACCAACTTCTACAACCTAAACTATCTTTCCAAGTTCATGACATTCTCACTAACCACGTATGTGTTTTTAGATAGGGTCCATAGGAGATATTTAAAGTTGAATGAAGCCATGAGTATATTGCTTTAATTCAAAGGATTATGACATTATATTTTTACATTTTTTATTATGACAGTATTAAAAGAAGTGAGAAGGTGTCCGTGTGTAAGCTGGGAGGAGAGAAGCTCCTCCATTCACACATTCTCAGCTCCGAATTCCATTCTCCAAAGCTATAAGAAAATAAACTCCAGCTGTTTAAGTCAGCCTCTAGATGAGATGTTGTATGGTAGCCTGGGCTACCCATTGGAACTCTAACTGGGGAAAAACAGATTTTATCATAAGGAAGTTAGCAGTGCAAATATTTGTTGGCTTTACAATGGTTAGAAATCCAATCTGTGATAAAGGGGACTAGGGGTATCAGAGCAATGTAACCATGCATTCCAACTTCAATACTTATTGTTGAGGCACTTCCTTGGAAA